ACCAGGCAGGCGAGACACGTGCCCTCTAAAACTCGCGCTGAATAGAAAATGAGTCATGGCGAACTATGAAAAAAACCAGTTGATCACATTCGATTGACCAACCCCGCATCTAGACCGAAAGATCACCTCACAACTGATCGCTCTGGTCGATTGTGTCAAAAGACACCGAGCAAGATCCTCATACAGTTGAACACCTCAACCGACCAACGCGTACTCCAGAGGGCACAGATGCACTCGGTCGATCGCCTCAGTTGGTTGACTTCAAGCCAATCGATTGGCCGATTATCGCCAATGTTGAAATGCAAATTGTAATACAAGAATGACATAAAATCTATACAAACAATTAGAGTCTTAATGACATTAAAAATGATTTCTATAATTATTTTATCTTTTCTGTAATTATATAAAACATATCACTATAAGTACGGGACAAAAATAAGAATAAATGGAACTTGCCACCGATTCTCCCTACAAAGATCCAGAGCTTATTCTACTCTCTTCATTCTCTCCTTCAATCTATTCTAACTCTCGGAGCATGATTCACAAATGACAAACTAAGATCCAACACTACTCAAGTATTTAGCACATAATTCTTATATATTTGCATAACTCATACATAAATTTTCATAATATATAACATTCAAATCTTTAATATAAAAATTAAAATAAGATCAATTATTATTTATTTTTAAAAGTTAAATCCAGTTTCTTATGCATCTGTTTTGATACTCCGTCACTAAAATTCCAACATCTAACATGAATCTCGAGATAATTTTATAGCATGGAACATTCAAACTTCAATTAAAGATAATCCAGAACTTTGATTTCAGAAAATTTGTTGTCAAAGTAACCGGCTCGACAAGACATACTCAATGATACCAACATTGGTCCAATCCGGATCAAACCAAGCCCAATTCAAGCAGTTAAACCATTATTGAAAGCTTTGAGTGTATAATTTGAAAGGTCAAATGAATTCCAAATCTGCAAGCTTATAGTCAAATCGAGCGCCTCAACGAGACAAATGGAAAGAACCCAAGCTCGTTAAATTGTGACACAACTAAGACACTAAAATGTTCTTCGAACGATGTCCAATTAAGAGAATCACTTCGGGTCGTCTCATTGAGAGGTTCAAATTCTTTTTTATTTCCAAAGAGGATTCTCCCAAACTTTATAAATATAGTTCCACCCCCATCTTGGGAGGAGTGAGATCTTGAGCAAGAAGAAGAATGAAGTTTGGACAAAGGGTTGAAGTCCAACATTGCTTCTGCACTACTGATCTAGCAAATAATTTCAACTCATGTCACCGCTAACCACTGTCGACCACCACTCGCTGGTCACTATAGACCACCGTTGGTTGTCTCTCACTCATTGCAATGAACCCCTTACAAAATCACTACATGCGCTTCAGAATATTGACGTACAATGCAGAACAATGAGACATCCTGTATAACAACACACCTCACATACGATGCAATGACGTCTCCCACAGACTGTATAACAATGTACCATGAATACAGTGCAACGACAAACTCCAATGAATCTGTGACAATAAATCCCACATATGGTTCAATGACACATCCCAGAAACGGTGTACCAATGTACCCCCGAATACATTGCAACGCCACACTTCATTGATGATGTAATAATACACCCCACATACAGTACAACGAGACATCCCAAAGACACACCTCAACAGTAATGCAATAACGTACCTCACATACGGTGCAATGATGCCTATTGAAGACGATATAAAAAATTCACCCTGAATACGATGCAACGACACACTCAGATAAGGTTGTTGGCATCATTTTTTTATGTCACTAGTATAGGGTGTACACCTGAACGACTCGGGGTGGCCTACGACTCATCTGTATCATCTGTTAGCTCAAACACCCACCCGGGACTCTTTAGCACTTGTTTGGGGCAAGTAGATAGGGTTGGTGGCGATTCAACCATACTGGGAAACCCCCTTTGGAAGGGTTCTTTCAGGACGTGAGACATGCTTGGTGCCTAAATTAATGTTTAGAAGTCACCATACGCTCGTCTAGAAGCCTCTTATTGCCAAAGGAAGCCACGATGCCATCCTACGCACGCTATGGGAAAATTAGGGTTTGGGACACTTAAGGCAATCGTTGGCACAGTTTCGTCATCCGGGGCCGTCCGGACAAGTTCGTTGACAATCGGGCCAATTTAAGTTCGATTCACGCACTACGCGACGAATGTGATTTATAGGTCCAATGTGGTTGTTCAATGAGTAAAATGTCGATTGAACTTAACCAAAAATGATGTCAACACCGGATCACTGCCGTCTTGGCATAACCATCTATCAGGCCACTATTTTCACAGTATGCCCATTTTTCGGGTCACTGCCTACTCGGCATACTCATTTATCGAGTCGCTGTCTTCACGAAATGCACATCCCTGGGTCTCTGCCTCCTCAGCATGCACAGTAGTCGGGCCGCAACCTTCATGAAATGTAACTTTTCATATATAGGTAAGGTGATGTATATGCAAAAATTAAAGTTCCGTGATTAGATACATCAATACGTGAGAATTGAGAGGTTTGATATAAATCTTCCAAAGTTCATTCTTATATAACTCATGCAAGGTTATGCATTAATTCCTTATTGTTCTAACTTTTGTCATTGATATATGTGCTGCAGAAGCAAATGATGTTGTATCAACTCCATTGTACTTAAGATAAGCTCTCTCCAAAGAGTTTAATCTTAGGTTAAGTAACCATCAAATTAGAAAATAAGCAATTTAGTCCCTCAACTATCAACCAATTGTACTCATGTAATTTTTATTTGTAGGGCAAGTCGTCCATGTTTAAAATTTAAAATTATAGTAATACAAAGCTTAAAGATAATTCATAATCCATTTCTTAATAATAATAATAATAATAATAAAAATAATAATATTATTATTATTATTATTATTAAGAAATGGATTATGAATTATCTTTAAGCTTTGTATTACTATAATTTTAAATTTTAAACATGGACGACTTGCCCTACAAATAAAAATTACATGAGTACAATTGGTTGATAGTTGAGGGACTAAACATCATCATCTAACACTTAATGATAATAAGCAATTTAAGTCTGGCTTTCGTTCATTTTTTTGAAAGATTTTGAAAAATTCATAATCCATTCCTTAATAATAATAATAATAATAATAATAATAATAATAATAATTTATTATTATTATTATCATCATCTAACACTTAAAAGTTTGATATATCAAACTTTGGTGTCATGAACTTACACATAAAAAAGTGTATTTACTTTTAAAAGGTTAGTAAAAGTAATATTTTTAATATGATATTAAGGATATGAGTGTTATGTATGAAAATATGAAATTTTAGATATTAGATATGTAAATGTCTAAGAATTTTTTTTATAAAAAAGAGGTATTTACATATATACCGCACAATTCTTTTGTATTTACATATCTAGCATCTAAACATTCTTATTTGCATGCATATTGCTCGTATCTTTAACATCATATTAAAAATAATATCACAATCACCATCTTTTTATAAGCGAAATACATCATTTTATGCTTGTTTTATGATAACAGATGTTTTAAATGTAAATATTAAACTTTAGGTGTTAGATATGTAAATACATAAGAATTGTGTGAATTTATATAAATACATAATATGTAAATACATAAGAATTGTGTGAATTTATATAAATTTCCAAATAAAAATTTGTGGCTATCTCAAACTAATCCTAGAGAATATATTTAAATTCAAAAAGTGTTGAAAACTTGTGCATATCAATTTTTAGCATCAATATATGGAGCTAAAATTCAATCCAAAGTTTCGGCTCATGGCTTTGCTCGTCTATTTCAATCCAAACCAAAATTAGAATCAATTTTCGAGTGATTGACAATCATCAAGCTAAATTTACAGACCTACTTGATAAATTTGATTGAGCATTCTACTGAATTATCTATTTGCATAAGTCGCTACTTTACTTTCATGTATTTACATATCTGGCACCCGTGGCTCGATGTTTACATTTAGCATTTGGAATAATTCACAACAAAGTAAATCATAATTTATTAAATTCTTATTATTTTATAATTATTTTAGAATGTGTATAATTTATGTCCAATCAACCACCTTGCAATGATATATTCCCCATCTTGCAATTAAAATATTCTAATATGCTCTCCTTTCATATGACATAAAGAGACACCCGTGAACCTCTGGCCCCATTTCTTTTACTCCCCCATCCCTAACAAAGGAAAATATTACATCAGTGTGCACGTAGAAGTAACATGCGTAGCAAATGAAATCACGCCGCGACATCCCACGCGACAGGAAAAAAAACGACGCAGTAACACAGGGAATATTCCCCCATGTGTTATTGTGTGTTATTCATGTGTTATTGATGTGTTATTGTGTTATTATAAGACCGAGAATATTCTCAGGACACAATAACACATGAATAACACACAATAACACCTGAATAACACGCGGAATATTCCCGACATAGAAAAAAACAAAGCAGTAACACGGGGGAATATTCTCTCTCGTGTTATTCATGAGTTATTGTGTGTTATTCATGCGTTATTGATGTGTTATTGTGTTATTATAACACCATGAATATTCTCATGACACAATAACACATGAATAACACACAATAACACTGAATAACACGCGGGGTGTCGTGGCGTGATTTCATTGGCTACGCACGTTACTCTACGTGCGTAATACTGATGTAATATTTTTTTCCTAACAAAGTCCTCTACATAAGCCTTTCTTCTAAATTTGAAAATTGCAAATCGCTGATTTCCATTGCTTACATGTGAAAGACATTTTTACTCTTTTTTTAAGGAAAATTTACATACATACCACAATTTTTATGTATTTGCACATCTTACATCCCTAATTTAATCGTTGCACTTTTAATTAACACCTTAATGTCATGAACATGGGAAAGGTGTATGCACTTAAAAATATATATATAATTATTGTGTGTGTTAATAATAAGAAGTCCATTTGTTGGGAGGCAGAGTTTATATAAAAGCAAAGAGAGTGAAAGCAGAGTAAAATGGGCAAAGGGAGCACCTCCTCTTTTATTCTCCTTCTCCTCACTCTCCCCTCTCTTCACTCCATCGACATCGGCATTGGCGGCGGCAGCGGCGATGGTACCATAGGCATCGGCATTGGCGGCGGCGGCGGCGGAGCCGGTGGCGGAGGTTCAGGCCTCCCACCACCACAAACACCAGCACCCGCAGAACCACAACCATGCGACTTCCCAAACGAAAAACAATTCGAAGCCTACAAAGTAATCCAACGGTTCAAAAAAACCATAACTTGCGACCCCAACGGCATCACCAAATCCTGGTCCGGCAACCGCCCCTGCACCTACCACGGCTTCTACTGCGACACTCCCCCCGGCCTCACCAAGACCCCCACCATCGCCTCCGTCGACTTCAACGGCCTCCGACTCGCCGCCCCCTCCCTCGCCGGCTTCCTCGACGAGCTTCCCGACCTCGCTCTCTTCCACGCCAACTCCAACGCCTTCTCCGGCACCGTTCCCGATCTCTCAAGCCTTCCTTTTCTCTATGAGCTCGACGTCAGTAACAACCAGCTGAGCGGTGGTTTTCCGGCGAGTGTTCTTCGGATCCGTAACCTTACCTTCCTGGATATCCGGTTCAATAGTTTTGCCGGTTCGGTTCCCGGTTTTATATTTACGCTCTTGAGCGGTGGTTTTCCCGCGAGCGTTCTTCGGATCCGTAACCTTACCTTCCTGGACATCCGGTTCAATAGGTTTGCCGGTTCGGTTCCCGGTTTTATATTTACGCTCCGGCTCAATTATCTTTTTATTAATAATAATCGGTTTGATCAGCCGATTGCTGCTGATTTTGGAAAATCTAAGGTTCGTTATCTTACATTGGCTAACAATGGATTTACGGGTCCTATTCCAGCTTCCATTTCCAATGCCTCTGATACACTTATTGAGGTAAAAGTTTTATTTTTTTTTACTATTTACATAAATGCCATGCAATTCTACTGTATTTACATATCTAACACTTATAATTTCACATTTACATACATAACACCAATTCTTAACATATGTTGTATCCTAATCTGTCCTTGAATTATAACTCAAAAGTTAGAGCATAAGAAGAGAGCAAGATAGAAAGACAGAGAGAACGAACAACAAATGATTAATGAAATGTCTTCTCGGGTCGGCAGGGCTGACTCAATCAGCTAAACTTTGCCTATCGTTTGAAATTGTTTGAAGACTCTTGATCATTATATGAGGTGCTTCTATCGCCAGAATGAGATTAACCTATCGTGCAGATGGCGAGTGATCACAATTTGAAAAATAGCACATTCAATTTTGTTAGTTGTATATACGTGGCCTGTTACTTGTCGGGGTTCACTGTAAGTCCCCTCGGGTCGATTCCTCGTGGCACACGGTTATTGAATAGTTAGGCACAGGTTCTCATTATGAGGCCTTGATGCGGATGGAAAATTGAAATTTAGGTATCTGCCAAATATTGATTTCTTTTTGAAGAAATATATATATATATATTGATGCGACTAAATTTTATAATTAGAATCACGCTTCTCCATAAAAATCTAATCATTTTCAGATTACCAAATATAACACATAATACTTTAGCATTTACATATCTAACACCTAATTTTTTATGTTTAGATGTAATTATAACACTTTCTGTAACAAATTTGTACATTAAAACACGACTTTTACCTTTTTATTTTATCGAAGTAAAAAATAAAATGATATCAAAACAATGCAATTCAAATTCAATCCATATAAATAAATTATATGAAGATATATCCTGACATCCTTCTCCCCTCAGGTACTGTTCCTGAACAACAAGCTCTCCGGCTGCCTCCCCGCCGGCATCGGCAATCTGAAGAAAGCCACCGTGTTCGACGCCGGCTTCAACGAACTCACCGGCCCCATACCCTTCTCCTTCGCCTGCCTCCTAAACGTCGAACAGCTCAACCTCGCCGTCAACAGACTCTACGGCGAAGTTCCCGACACCTTGTGCCGGCTAGCCTTCGCCGGAAAATTACTCAACCTCTCCCTCTCCCACAACTACTTCACTAAGCTCGGACCCCTCTGCCGGACCTTGATTAAGAAGGGCGTTCTCGACGTCCGCCGGAACTGTGTACCGGGGTTGAGTGATCAACGCTCGCCGGCTGAGTGCGCTGACTTTCTGGCTCACTGCCCGGTCTGCCCGTTAACTGATCATATGACGTGTATGTCGCCGCCGTCGTTGACTCGAAATGATGACGTGGTGCTTCCGGCTCGCAGTTCTTATTCGGCGCTTATGCCGGGAATAAATTGAGCCCATTATTTGAATATTTATTTGATAGCATTCATGGTGATGTGGTGGTGTGCGGTAAAATTGTGTTTTTCTGTGTTTTTCAACCTTCTCGTTGCTGTTTGGATTTGGATCTCAATATATTTTGCTTTCATACCCCCCAAACTATCTATTTACATATGTAACACAAACATATTACAAAGAGTACACTTAGAGTGGCATATATATAAAAATCAAAGTTTAGCTGTTAGAGATGTAATTATATATATGAGACAGGATGTCCGGGCCTAGCTTTCTCCTGCTAAGAAGGCTGCTCCAAATAGAACTAGAAAATCTAACTAATATGGCCATGATAACATAAAATCTAAGATGATTCGACTCATGAAAATACATCTATAATTGATGCAATTGCTAATATTTGCTCATGATGTGTCATCAACAAACTTTTATTACGCAGGAATCTCCACGCATTTTTTATAATCAACCTTCTAAATTCAAATTCAAATTAAAGAGCATCTGAGCCTGATTTTAACAAGTTTATAGTCAAACTCACTGCCTCAACAAAACAAACTCAATAATGTCAACATTAGTTCAATCTATATCCAAGCAAGCCCAAATGAAGACGTTGAAGTGCAACTGGAGGTTTTAGATCATCAATTGAACAGTTAAATGACCCCAATTTTATCATATTTATAGTAAAAAATTATGATTTTTTACATGAAATGTGTTGTGTGTGTATCTGGTGGAGGGGAGTTAGAAGATTAAAATATCACATTACGACCATGAATTTTCCAAGACACGACAATTCTAAAGAAAAATAAGACTCTAAATTTGCAGAAATTGAAATGAACTATTTTCCACAATAAATTTAAGAATCTAAAATGCATTAGATAAAAAATTAAAATTCATAGATGGATATATGAAACCTGCATGATTGTCCTCAATATTCTCCACCGACCCTAACAAAATAGAACCAAATCATGAAAATTGCAGAATTAACTACAAAGTACATCCCTAATCATGCATTATATTAGCTAAAAATGATGGTTTTTCGCATTAAGTATAGGCTTTCTTCAGGACAGGAGAGAGCTTTAGTCTAAGACTCATCATTAAGACAATCATTATAGGCTGTTTAGTGTTTAGTTTACTATAAATATAAAGGCATTAGGCCAAGCTACTAGAAGCACCAGCATCTTCAGCAGAAATATAGGTTGAGACTAAAGCAAGATTGCAGGGAAAAGAACTTGAAAAAGAGAAATTTACATACATACCACACAATTCTTATGTATTTACATATCTAACACCTAGAGTTTGATATTTAGATTTCGACCACCTTGGTGCTATGAACCTAAAAGGTGCATCTGACTTAATTTATGGTATTTTTTATTACATGTTAAAAGATTCGAGTGAAATCAATGTAAACATTAAAGTTTTACCTGTTAGATATACGTAAATACAAGAGAATTGAGTGGTATGTATGTAAATGCCCCTTTAAAGAAACTCAACTAACCTGCTTTCCGAAGATGAAGGGAACGTACCTGTACTTAATCATGTGAAGTATTTGTCTCTTCATTGTTGCTGTGAATAGCAACAGCCAGTAAAGGAGCAGAATTGGCCAAAAAACAGGCTAAAGGTCATGAAGAAAACAATAACGAAGACTTTTGTCCTGGAATATCTGAAAAGGAAAGAATTTGAGTGTAAGTGTGATAGCATACAACAATAGTTAGTTCTTGTATTAGATTTAATAAGCATAGTTAATTAGTTGGTATTTAGTATTAATGAAATTGATAATTTTTTTGCATCTATAAATAGTCTCAATATGAAAGATTGAGGAATAGAATGAAAATCCAGTAAGCTCTCTCCCTATTCCGTATTTTTCTTCTCCTTCTTCCCCTCTTTCCGATTTTTGGAGTTATGAGCATTCTTGATTTGTCCTTTATCCTTCTCAATCTGTGTTTCGAGCGAGCAATTCTAAATGATTTAGGTATGTAGTTGAAGAACCAAATAGGGGTTCTTACTTTAGCACCGTTGGGTATGGGACGGCACCCCTTGAACTTTAGCATTTGTAATCCCAGAGCCCTTGAAAACAGCCCAACCAGAATCAATGGCCTTTCAATATGACACACAGATATATACATATATATCACATACTAATAAAAAAGGAGATGAAAAGAGATGTTTTTATGTGTCTATGATCTATTTGAGCCATTGAATTCAATTTTTTTTCACTATTGCTCGTACACTCACCGTAAAATAGAGAAGTTGTGGAGCAATTACCTTAGCTAGAATGAAGAAATCAATTTCAACTTAGCTCATAAGAATAGAAGATCAGAAAATCCTATCCCTTGAAGGATATATGATAGAAATAAAAACTGCAAGTAAAACACCAAGACAAATACCATGCGGTTCAGTGAGATCCACCCAAATCCATGATCATAGAAAGAAATATTACAATAGATCCAAAGATAATTACAGGATTATAATATTTTCACACCTACATATCTCCTCAATATTACTTTCTCTTTCTAGGTTTCTCCTTTTTTTCTTCCCACAAATCACTTTTCTCACTTGTTTTGCTTCGAGAAAAGCAAACACTAAGAGTAAAAAAGTTAAGAGAACCCATATAATATACAGTAGTATATCTTCATCCATTACTTTATATATTTCCTTGAGGGTTTCCAAAGTCTCAAACCAAAACTTGTAGCAAATTGACCTTAACTCCAATCACCTACCATTTATAGAAGTAGTTACTCAAAGCCACCGTAGTTTATCCCCAAGAATGTAGTTTGTCCCTAAGAATCCATTAAATCCACCATATGGATCCCAAGCCTTACCACCCACTACCGGCTGTCTATTCTTTCTAACTCTCTACTAATAGTACTTATTTAAAAAAAACAGAACAATAATATATGACATTATCTTCATTCTTTTGTTTATTCACTTCCTTCACAATTTCCAAATCTTAAATTGGGACTTCTAATAAACCTAGCTTGACTTTGATCACCTTCTCCATATAAATAATCTACTAAAGATTGACGATCGCCCGTTATAGATGTCACTACTAAATAATCTACTGAAGATTAAAATATCACATTACGACCATGAATTTTCAAGCCCCACTAATTGACACCGACCTATTAACATTTGTAGCTCATCTTGGCAACAATTCTGATGTACCTAAAATTATTTACCTCTAAAGCATACTATAGCATAGCATCACATCCTGCAAATATCAAATACCACATGAAAGCATCCTATAGCATAAGATAGGAAGCCCCAATGAGAACTCCACCAGCCTCCTACCTTACCAAGCCACCATCATTCTCCCAAGACCACTCCATCAATCTCCACAAGAAATTTAGAGCATATGCTTGAGTTGAGCCCTACCTGTAACTCTCCTTTTATAATTATTATGAAGTTGTGGAGATAGCAAAATTAGAAAACAAATCATTTTTAATGAAAAGATAGTAGGCCTGATTTTTTTTTAACAAAATCTAAAAATAATCGAATCAAATTAGAACAAGTAATTTGCAGAAGATGCTCTATCTTTGTAGGGTTTGATAAGAGATGCAAATAAATTATTCTCCACACGTCTAAGATAACTAGGAATCTAGAGAGAGAATCATCTTTGTGCCACATTTGCTGACTTCATGAGCTCATATGAATCGTGTCTCACTATTGATTTGATTAAAACAAATCTCATATGTCATCATCTACTAAATTGCAAAGAACTACTTTTAAATACTCACATTATAGAAGCCATCAAAATGAAATCAAGTTACAGCCCTATACATAACTAACTCCCACAATGTTCAAGAGATCATTATCAACAAGATGATTATTCTTTCAAACTCCTACAACATGGTTAGTCATAAACTCTTCATGTGGGCTAGAACAAAAAAGTGCACCTTAGTTCATAATCTAGGATCCATAGAATTATCAATATTAAAAATTAGTGCATCATAGATCTCCTTGCTTGCAGCATTTGCAATTCATCCACCTTATTTGAACTCCTTCCACCATTCTTTAGTGGACAATATCATTTGATGCGTCTAATCTTGCCACATCACCAACATGCATTGTTGCAATAAATGGATCAACTCCCCAATCTTCACCTAAAATTTAGATGAGCCTCACCTGCTGACATGTCTTGAGTATCACTAAGAGGACTTTGTGACATTAGGTAATGGAGTAAGAGGATCGAGAATTTGAAGTGATTATATCGATTATTATTAATACATTAAATGGATGTAGTAAATTTATGATCGTTGATTATAATAATTAGCACTTACTCAGTGACAGTTTGAAATATCTGTCTTCAATTAATTGGTAGACAAATGTTTGCTTGCTAAGATAGCTTACTATTTACTTAGAGTACTATATATGCCTTAGTATGGCCAAGAATGGGTTACCTTTTGCTAGATGTAGCCAACACAAATAATTACAGACCTGTCACGGCTTGATGTGAGCATTGAGGATGAAGATCGAGCGATGATTTTGTTGTGTTCATTGCCCTCTTCCTATGAACACTTGGTAACTACTCTGACATATGAGAAAGAAACTATCAAAGTGGATGAGATTACTGTAGCATTGTTGGCTCACAACCAGCGGAAGCAGAATGCAGGGGAAAGCTCTCACGGCGACAGTTTATATGTTAAGGGTAAGCAGGATCGTGGAAGGAAGAAAGAGAATGAGGGATCCGGAAGGCGAAATTCCATATCAAAGTCTAGATGCAAAAAGGAAATTCATTGCTACAACTGCAAGAAGTCAGGTCATATGAAGAGAGATTGTTCAAAGTTGAAGAGGCAGACTAGGAAGAAAGGTGATACTTCATCAAAGTCTGTAAATATGGTGCAGAATGATAATTCAGATTGCAGTGATGATGATATGCTCTAAGTTTCATCAACTCAGTTCACGGATGCATGAATTCTTGATTCAGGGTGCTCTTATCCCATAACACCTAACAGGGAGTGGTTTACTTCATACATGTCAACTAATTCTGGCTCAGTCTATTTGGGTGATGATAGATGTTGTAATATAGTTGGTATTGGAGAAGTCAAAATTCAGATGTATGATGACACAGTTGGAACGTTATGTGATGTCAAACATATTCCAGATCTGAAGAAGAATTTGATTTCCTTGGGCACTCTACACAAAAATGGTTTTATTCCTAAGGCTGATGATAAGGCTGATGAGGATAGGGAAACCATTAGAATTGTTAAGGGTGCACTGACTATGATGAAAGGAAAGTTGACTGCATGTAATATCTACAGACTGTTAGAGAGTACAGTTGTAGGTGGAGTTCATTCTGTGGAGTCAGATATAGATAATGACATCACAAAGCTATGACATATGCGACTGGGTTATCTCAGTTAACGTAGGATGACGGAATTATATAGAAGACACTTGTTGCATGGGGTTAAAAGCTGCAAGCTTGATCTTTGTAAGTTCTGTATTCTTAAAAAACAGACTAGAGTCAGTTTTATGACTGGAAAGCACAAAATTGAAGGAATTCTTGACTATGTGCATTTTGATGTATGAGGTCTTACTAGAGAGTTGTCATTAGGAGGATCTCAGTATTTCGTTACCTTTATTGATGATTTCTCCAAGAAAGTTTGGGTGTATTTTTTGAAGTAGAAATCTTAAGTCTTCTCTAAATTCAAGCTATGAAAAACTGAGGTGGAGAACCAAACTGGCAGAAAAATCAAGTATTTGAGGTCTGATAATGGCACAAAGTACACAGATTCACTGTTTCAGAAGTTCTGTGAGGAGCATGGGATTCAGAGGCATTTTTCAGTGCGGAAGACACCACAGCAGAATGGTGTGGCAGAATGGATGAATAGGTCCTTAACTTAAAGAGCAAGATGTTTGAGACTGAATGCAGGACTTCCTAAAAGTTTCTGGGCAGAGGCTGTGAATATGACATGTTATCTCATCAATAGATCACCTCGAGCATCGTTGGGTGGCAAGG